CTTAGTTTCTAGGTAGAAATCTTTCAAAAGGTTTTAAATGCAAGAATGAAAATGCTCCTAGAAACCAAAGGAAGGTTTAACTAAATGCAATGTGCTCCTATATATCACAGAGACTTAAAACATAAAAACGATCAAGCAATTGGAAAGAAAGCAAGGAAATGGAAATGGAAATGCTAGACGGTCTTAAGTGAAAGTGCAAGTGACACTTTGAATCCCTTGACACACTTTCATACTAAGAAGCGTAAACTAAGTTATTACAATGTTCAATGATACACTTGGAATTGCTTTAAGAGCATTTTCCCAAACCACTTAAGTTGCAAATGAAAAAGCCAAATAAACCACAAAGGTTCCGTGGTACAATGTATGAAAAACACTTAAAATGATGCTTTATACAATACAAAAGGTGAAATTGAAATGGCTAGATGTGCAGTTCCAAACAGATTTGAAAAAGTGTCTTGATAGGCGATGAAATGCTGCTGGGATAGAAAGCAAACTGCAGCTTTGAGATCAACTCTTGAAGCCAATCCAGCAAGCTCTCCACTTCCTAATATGCTACGCTGTTGGATATGTTCTGCAGCTTGGAAACTTCAAGAATCTTCACAGAACCAATGCCAAACACCAAACCAGTCACACCAAAACAAAGGCTGTTGCACCAGATTTTAATCACGCAGAAACAGATTTGGTTGCACAATTGGAAGCCAAACAAGTTGAATTCAAGCTAATTAAAGTATGAAATCAAAGGAGGGAAACAAAAGGAACCTAGGAAAGGCACTAGAACAGATTAAACAAGCTAGAAAAAGTAAAACGCAGATCAAATTTGAAGTGCAACAAACTGTTTGATGAAAGTCCCCAATGAGTATCAGATTTTTGGATTTTGGGGTTCAAAATTGGATTGCTTGGTTTTTAATTGGTTTTTATGATTTTAGTATACTTTTTTTATCATATAATTCCACATGGAAACATGAAACCAGCTCTTGCCAACCCAGAATTGAAATTTAAAGAATGTAAAACTGCAAACAGCACTTGAAAATGAAAACTGCACCAGAAAAATGCTTCTAAATTGGTGGTTTTAAACCCAAAATTGATTGGAAATGATTCAGTAGCTCAATTGACGCATCAAACAACTTTGTATCATCATTTTAAAGATGTTTAAACACGGAAACAGCTTAAAAACAGATTGCAATGTGAATTCACTGGTTCACTTCCAATTTAAAGCCAATTTTGATGGTTTAAGAGGTAATTCTACATATAGGATTAAAATTGACCAATTGAACAGTGCACACAAATTTAAAATGGCAAAATAACGTTGTACATGCACAAACACAGCAAGATTCATCAAACCACACTTGCTGTAGCCAATTATGCAGCAAATTTCACCAAAAATAGCACCATTATATAGAAATCAGTGAATTAAAACTGGACAACACTATAAATGACTCAAAGAGGTCCTAACACACTAGATCTCGCTGAAGAATAGCAGCTAGCAGATGTCAAATACAGAATACACTTTGCAAAGATGGCAAGCACGGTGAAAGCTTGAAATGAAAATTCATGACAGCACATGCTAAGTATTTTTGAGCAACTAGGCAATGCATTTTGCATTTCAGTGCTTAATATGAGTTGCCACACCTCTAGTGATGCTTAATAACATCAAATAAACTTGCACAATGCTTCAGAAACAAGAAATTCTAACTGAAACAGATTGCACCTAATGCACCAGAATTTGAACTTTGTGCAGAATTTGTGAAAACAGAAGCGAATTTTGGATTCTTTAGTTCATATCATCCAGGCTAGACATTGTCTCATTGCCTCTTAGGATTGATATATTGCTACAAATTCATCTAAACTCAATTGAAATGAAAAATTGAAAGCTGGAAAAGATTCACACACTTGACAACAGAATTTTAAACTGCATATGATGCACAAGACTTGACAAAACTGGAAAGTGAAATTGAAAGCTGGAATGAACTTAAAACAAAGATTTTCACCGATTAAAATGATCTACAAACACAAAGGAACAATGGAAGTACACGAACAACAACAACAAACACGAAATTAAGCAAAAATAAATAAAAAAGCAACACATTGAAACAGCACATGACAGAAATTGAAAAATGCAAGGTAGAGTGGCTTAGCTCTGGAAGACAAGCGTGGACGTGCTGGCTCTGACTACTAAATGATGGAAGCAGCTCCAAGCTCCATGCTCAAGCAGCTCCACGAACCAAAATGATGCAGTGGAATGGATTGATGACTGAAAACGAAAATGCACGCCAGGTGTTTGATGAAAGGATCAGCGAAGGTTTGGTGAGTGTATGAAGTTTCTCAAGATGAACTTAGAGAAAATAGGTCTGGAGTAATCTCAACAGCACTTCAATATCTTTTCCAAATTGATTTTTACAAAGGAGAGTCTCTCTTTTATAGGTGAAGAGACGGCTCCATTTCTGAATTGTGAAGTGTTTACTAGCTACAAATAAAGTGTACTAGAGAAGCTAAGGAGCTTGGAACGCAAGTTTCACTCAAACCATATTAAAAATGTGTTTTAAAAGATGAAATCTGGTTTGCGATGGCTGAGCGCAGAGTGAGGGTAGCTGGGCGCCTTGTAGAATCTGGAAGCCACTTTCCCTTTGAAAACTCAATCCGGAAGCCATTTGTTCCAATATGGAAATCACTTCTTTTCTTCTCTTCTTTGCCTTCTTTGCTTCCTTTAGCTCACCAAGCTTCTTTAGTTGATTGGCTATGATTTCCAACCTTTATTTAAGTCCTACAAAACAATACAAATGTATTTAGCAAAGAGAAGAAGAATTAATAAGTGATTCTCCATAGGAGTAAAATAGTAAGTGATCCTTCTTCTTCTTGAATCCTTCTAGACATGGCTCTTGTTAGAGGTCCTATGTGCATTTTAGATGGTCCTCCATTGTTAAGCATGTGAGTTCTAGTGTTAGTCTCATTGAATGAGCTATCTACTTGTTGGACGAGTGTGCTTTCAGGCACTACTCACTTAGTGAAATTAATAGAGTCTAACTCTATTTATATGTTCTCTTCTAGTATGTTTAATGTGCGATTTTGTAATGTTAAAATGATGATTGATTTATGATGTTTATCTAAGAATGGTTGGTACTAATCCAAGGAAGACTAGTTGTGATTTTGTTAGTGTATGTAATGACATATGAGAGGTTAGTAAGGAGGTATCCTGAACTCTAATAACTATTTACACTCAAATAGAGTAGAATAAGTTATGTGGTGAGAGTCGTAGGAGGTCCTAGCCACTAGATTGCTTTGTCCTTGGTGCAAATAGGACTAGCCTTGTAAGTAGTAAGGTGATAACTCCTTTATTTATGACTCTGTAGAGTATAAATACTATTACAAGTGTACGCCTACAACGAAATCCAATGTCAAAGACATATATCTAGATAATTGAGTCTAGTGTCAACTGTCTATGTGAATATATATGACTTGTTGCACATCATACATGTTTAGTTTATAAATTGGTATATTTTGACTAAATTAGGATAATTTTTTTGCACATTAGCTTACCCTTTTATTCTTTTGCGTTCACTTTACTCTTTTGTGATGATCACTTCACTGTGTGAACAAATAAAACGATACGCATGGTGAAAGACAAAGATATTGCTAAGTATAGTTTCCTTGTAGATGTTTTATTTAAGAGTTTTTCTCTTTTTGAAAAACTCATAGTTTTCAATAGGTTTGTATATTTTATTATCATAATTTTTATGATAGATAACTATATTAATATCATGTATATCTATTTTGTTTTATCAATTTTATAATATTTTATTTAATGATTTTATATTATAGAATGTAATATAAGTGGCTGATATATCTATTTAGTAACATAATATTTGCTTATGAAGTAAGATATTAATGTTTAAAATATGGATAGGTACACATAGGGATGACAAAAAAATCTGCGTCCGCGGATATCCGTGGATAAAATCCGCAACAGATAGTTGATACCCGCGGATATTTACTACCCGCAACCCGCTGGTAGCGGATATTTTAATACCCGCTTATAAACGGGTCGGGTGCGGGTATTATACTATCCGTAACCGCGGATAACCACTACCAGCAAAAAATAAAAATAAAAATATAATTTATATTTTATTAAATTAAATTTAATTAAAATTAACATTAATTTATATTTTACAAGATTAAATTTAATTAAAATTGAATTTAAATTTATATTTAATTTAATTTATATTATATTTTATATATTTTTTGTAATTCTATTTAAATTTTATTTTAATAATTTATTAAAATATATTTTTTTTAAATATTTGCGAGTATCTGCGGATATCCACGGGTGTTCGCGGATATCCACGGGTATCCGCGGGTTTTAAAATACCCGCGGATATTTTTTAAGCGGGTATCCGTGCGGGTAGCGGGTGAATTTTTTTTGTCGGATCGGGTTGCGGGTAGGCACTATCCGTGTCCGACCCGACCCGACCTGTTGCCATCCCTAGGTACACAAAACCTTCCAAGCGTCGAATACATGTCGAATATGCATTGAGTAAATGAGTTATTACGATACAAACTGAAGCAGAATATTGGTAAGTATACTTCTTAAAAAAATGTTTAATTTTAAAACAAGTATACAACAAAAACCCATAAAAATGTACGAATATGGATATTTTTTTTAAAAAAAAACACTTTTTAAAAAGAAAAAACACAGACAAACTTACCATGAAATAAAATCTAATTTAATAAAACTATAGTGAAAATGTTAAAAGTGTCCAATTAGGCGTTAAGTGTATTAGGTTGTGCTAGGATAAAAAACCTAATATACTTATTATCTATTTAGTTTTTCTATAATTCAATTTGTATAATAATGGTTTTTCAATTATTATTCATTATCTTCTGACAAAAGTTCATTTTAATTTGTAAACAAAATAATTTAATGCTGTATTAAAGGTATATATGGAAAAAGTTTTGCATGTAGTTAATGTTCCTGCAGATGATGCAATGGTAATAGTAGTAGGGAATTGATATACAAATTTCTAGAAGTTGGAGCTAACTCTGTCTTGCGAGCTAATGAATCTCTGCTAAAGCAGAGTCACCCTTAAATTGGAAAACCAATTAACCTCATCCTCGTACATTTTGTGTATTTTTAAGTTTTAGGAAGATTATGTAGCATGTACATGTTTGACACATAGGTAGCAACTAGCTATTTTTTTATGTCGTTTGTCCTCTTGAAACAAACCTATTTATGGTTACGAGTACCATGTGGATGGAGTTGGATCGTTTATTGATTGAGGCTAAATTATCCTACACAGTGTTTGTTAGCATTTGGAAGGATTTGCACTCCCTCCCTTCAAACATACATCATGTAACTCATTAGTGTCCAATAAGATTTTATGTTTAATTTTGTTTTGTTGTATGTTCTGTCCTTTTGTGCACAGAATATCAATTTTAGCCGGCTTCATAATTCATTTCAAATGATTTGTCCATTGTATAAAATCAAAAGAAATGTGTCTTGGAAATATATATACATCACATATACTACTGGTCTCTTTGTAGACAACATGTTCGCTGAAATTACAGAGGAGATAGATGAAGATACACACTGGTTTATCAACACAGAAGAACAGAAGGAGAAGATCAGGAATATTATACAGCACCAAAAATCTCTGTATAGGTCATCAGCATCATCTTCTCTGTCATATTCAGCTGCATCTTCATCATCCTTCTCCTCACCCCATAAATCACGCAGTTTGTTGGCCTTGATGAAAGGAGGAAGCACATCCATGAGGAGATTGTTTGACATGGAGCACACAAGTTTGGCAAACCATTTTGACTTCTACACAGGGTCACCAATAACCAAGCCAATATCTTTGTGGGATAGTGATTCTGAGCGTGATTTCCATGACCCTTGGGCTTTGATCAAGGAGGTTGGATCCACTCGTTTTGCTGGAACTGATAGAGAAAGTGAGTTAGCCTCAAAGGGTAGTAATGTGGATGGAGATCTTGGCTCCCACAACAGAAATGTCAGCAGTGGGAACAGAAAATTGACTAGGAAAAAGTCTTTTAGGAGGTTGCCAAGATTTGGTTTGTGGAGATGTGGAAGATTTAGATTCCCTTTGAGATTTAGACGGCTTAAAATTAGAATATGGGGTAGACTATTCAGATAGAGTTATCAAAGTTCAAAATTTGGAATCATCAAGTGGGTTAACTATTTTCTGAAATAACGATCCTTCAAAAACTTGAGAAGCTATGCGATTTGCATCAAGTTCTCCTATTCAATGAGAAGAGTAATACAACAGTGGTTGTGGATAGAAACTCAACTTGGTGGGGTGAAACCCACATTTAACACTAAACAGTTTTAGCCTAGACTACAGACACTTGCAAATGATACAACGATCAGATATCAGTCTAGCTATGACACTTCCTTCTTCAATCTATCTTTAAATTCCTACTTTCTTTGTTCCACAGATGATTCCCATAATTCTCACTACTAAGCGGAAGCACTTAGGCTTCAGCCCATTTTGATTCCCTTAGTTTTGGGCTTCCTAAAGAGATCGCCAATCTATTGGATAAAAGGCCAAAGGAGGCAAGAAAGAGAAATACGATAATCTTTCCAATCTAAATCTTTCATACAATAATTTTGAAGGTGAAATAGCGAAGAACGGAATATTAAAAAATGGTACTTCCCTTTCATTATATGGCAACAGCAAGCTATGTGGTAGTGCACCGGAACTAAATTTTCCTGCATGCAATGTCAGGAAAGCTTGTCTGGCAAGAAGACTAATTGCTTCTAAGGTGGCTATCCTTATAGCTTGTGTACTTGTATTGCTTCTTAAACTGGTCCCGGAGTTAAAAGATCTAAAAAACAAAAGTGGTGGTCTAAGAACTAGGATCACTGGGCATATATAGGGCAGTGGCTGCAGCAGCCTGTTATCCCTCCACCGTCAAGAGAGGGAGGTTTTCGCTGCTCTGTGAAACCAGCCTCACGCTGTGCCCTCCACTTTAGGGCCTAAGAGACCCAAGCCTTCGCTCAAGTTACATAGGTCAGCTCTCAACTTGGAACGGGCAGGCCGGCATCTTGCAATCAAGACCCAACCAAGTGAAACCACAGTATTATCCCACCACCATAATGCCCTCACTTGAGTCACAAGTTAACGTTACCCAACTCGGCGAGCTGACATCCTTGTCAGAACATTTATAAAAGTTTGGTTGGTTTGTGTTTTTGCCAATGTGGGACTTGTAAACGTAGAGACCCAACAGTTTCTGAGATCTCATCCTTTGATCTGGCAAGGTACGTGGTAATTGAAGTGATTAAAAGAAAAGGATTGTAAGTAATTTGTTGGAGAAAGTCAGTGTCCCTTGTCTTACAATGGCACAAGAATCTGTCCTATTAAGAACACCTTTTTCTTTTTCTGAAATCTTGTTAATTCAAAATTAATTGAGCATGGTAAGCATAGAATTGCTCCATGCTTTAGCTTCTTTATTAAACTTTTTCCGACCTTCACAAAATCTTCTTCGACTCTCATTTCCACAACTTCTCATCATCTTGTATCCCTAATTACTGTCATTTTTGCTCACATATCTGTCAATAGAAGCTACTTCTTGTGAATATTTTATTAAATTAATATTAGTTTATAGATAAATTAGTTTTAAGAAATGTTTATATAATTATTTTAAATTTGTAAATAAACTAAATTAACTTGTGTAGAGACTTATTTTATTTTTTAAAAATATTCTTAAAAAGATGCTAGAATTTGTAGAATCAATATAAAATAAGATGATAATTTTGGAACAACGAGAACATTGTTGATGTTGAATTTAATGTGAAGTATATTTATGACAACTATATGACAGTTCGACCGTATTCTAGAAATTAAGTTTAGATCATCATGTTAAAGTTTTAAAAAGTGATTATGTTGATAAAATGATGTTATGTGGTGTGTTGATTAATGAAACTCGTATATCATAAATAGACACTATAAAATTTATTTAAATATTTATAAGATGGTGATAGAACTTAAAAAAAAAACTTACTCTTCCATCTTGTTTATGGATATTTACTCATGTTATAACATTAACGTGCTAAATTTTGTTGTTATTTATTTAAATAGATTTTGAAGTAAGTGAGTGAACAAAGCCTTAGGTTAAGAAAATGTAATCTATTGCATCCTGCTCCGTATAAAAAATTTTAGTATTTAGAGCAAAACCTGGTGAGGACATTCCAGTTTTAAGAACATTTTAGATTAGTTTTTCTATATAAGAATATTTTTATTGAACATCTCAGATTAATTTTCCTATAAATAATTTTATGATGAAATAGATGTTTGAATAGAAGTGATTTTAAATGCTTAAAGATTGGAAAATTGTCTTACTGTGTAACACACGGTTTTAATTGAGTATGACAAATAAATACAGATCTTTTCAGTCCTAACAATATCTTGAATTTATTGCATTAACTCAAATAATGTTAAAGTGATTTTTATAAATCCAATTAATTAAAGTTTGAATTAACTAATTAACTTAGATTTACTGAATAAAACTTCGAAAATAAGCTAAAGAATCTAATAAAGGATTATTTTTAATCTATAATAAAGTACTCCCTTATAACATTGATTCCATTTTTAGGTGTTTGTTAAAACTGGTTGATATAATCAGAACTTGAAAATACTAACCAATGGCCAATGGTACCAAACTCATAATGTCAGAGAACAACTTTTCATAAGATGTATCTCATAATGTCAGAGAACAACTTTTCTGGATTCTTTCCATCTTCTCTTGGCAGATGCATTAGCTTGGAAAAGCTGCATTTGGAAGGAAATTCTTTTGATGGAAACATTCCTCAAACTTTAAATGGAAGTCTAAGAGGATCTAAGAGTTTCGTTAATGAATGCTAAGTTATGAGAAGTGTAAGGGATCGCAACCTTCTCAAGATCATAACTGAAAGCTCTAGAATTTGAGTACATGCCTAATGGAAGTCTAGAAGATTGGTTGCATCCTATAAGAAATTTGCAATTTCAGAAAAAGACATTGACATTGACATTCACTCAAAGACTGAACATAGCTATTGATGTTGCTTGCGCACTGGAATATCTCCACCACTTATGTGAAACTCCAATTGTTCATTGTGACATAAAGCCAAGCTATGGGATACTGTTACTGGAGATTTTTACAGGAAAATGGCAGACAGATGAAGCATTTGAAGGTGGGACGGTAACAGATAAAGCATAGTGCTATATAAAGAGTATGTGAGAGAAGGTAAAAAAAAGATGATATTTAAAACTACAAGAATTTATCATAAATTGTTATATAGCGACGCAAATGCAATATAAATTGTAATATACCTTTTTCTTCCATTCGCTTAACCACATTCACAGAACAAGCAACAAAAGTATGAATCGAAAAGATCATTAGACAATGCAAACACCGCAACCAACCTTATGAGTCGAAGAAAATGCTCATTAAAAAAGTAAAACGGTGGTGGTCTAAGTAAACTGGGCTCACTGGGTATACAGGGCCGTGATTGCAGCAACCTGTTATCCCTCCACTGTTTGGAGAGGGAGGTTTTCGCTGTTCTGTGAAACCAGCCTGACGCAGTGCCATCCACTTTAGGACTCAAGAGGCCCAAGCCTTCGCTCAGGTCCCGTGGGTCAGCTCTCGACTTGGAGCGGGCAGGCCAGCATCTTGCCATCAAGGCCCAACCCAGGAAAGTCACAGTATCATCCCACCACCATACTGCCCTCACTTGAGTCACAAGCTTGCGTTACCCAACTCGGCGAGCTGACATTCTTGTCAGACATTTATAAAGACTTCGTTTATTTGTATTTTGGCCAATGTGGAATTTGTGAGCAAAGAGATCGAACACTTTCTGAGATTGCACCTTTTTTTTTTTCATGGTACAAACGGTAATTCAACATAGATCATGTAATAGAAGTTTATGCTCAATATTGCTTTGTTGTATGTCCTTTTGTGTAACTCTTTAGTATTCCTTGAAAACTTGATAACCTATGGGATTCACATCAAGCGCAGCTATTCAATGGCAAGAGTAATATAACATTGGTCGTGGATACAAACTGAAAGCTTGGTCGGTGAAACTCACAGTTAACTCTAGACAGTTTTAGCCAGGACTACAGATACTTGCAAATGATACAACGATCACATATGAGTCTAGCTACGACACTTCCATCTTCAATCTTCAAATTCCTACTTTCTTTGTTCCATAAATGAACCCCATAACTCTCACTACTTAGCTGAAGCAGTTTGGCTTCAACCCATTTTGATTCACCTCTAGTTTTGGGCTTCCTAAAGAGACCACCAATCCTTTTCAAATCTGCTGGATAAAAGGCCAAAGGAGGCAAGATTGTAAGGTTGAAGCCTGGCCTTTCCCCCAGTCTCTCAACCACTCTGGAAACCAGGTAGGGACCATTATGACCCCATTTGTTCCCATTAAAAGTTAACACAAATTCATTAATGAATCTGAGAAGAAGTGGATGATTCATGTCAAATATCAGGACTGCATTGTTAAGTCTAGTCCAGTTCTTATTCCCAGAGTCCATGCTTTGTGCTCCAATAGAATTCCTCAACACAGATAAAGGTTTCAAGACTATAAAATCCGTGTCTAGGTACACACCACCATATTTGTACAGAACTGCAAGTCTCATCAAGTTAGATAGGTTCTGAAACAGAGAAATCTTACCAGGGTCCTTCTTCCCTTTCATCAACTCATTCAGCCATGCTTCAGCTGGAGTTCCCTTGAAGAGAAATGGCAAGTCTGGGGCCACTGCTTGAACTCTGAACCTCCTATCAAGAAGTGGCTTCAGGATCCTATAACCAAGAATGGAATCCAAAGTCCTTGATAGAATCGCCAAACAAGCCTTGGGATGCACCTTGAAAAGACTCTCTATAGACAACAACTCTCTTGCTTCAAATGAGCCTGCAGGGTACTCCCAAGTCATGAAAAATTGGGACTCACATTCATGGCTGAAAAATCCCAGAATCCGAGCATGAAATTGCCTACTCAATCCATCCGACTGGAGAATCTTGAACTCGTGAAGCTTCCCTTTAAACCAAACAATTCTTTCTTCTTCTGTGGAATTAAATGGAGCAACTAGGACTCCTTGATTTCCTTTGCCAACTCCTTCATTCTGTTTCATGGAACGTAAAGGGGAGTGTGTGAGAACAAGAGTTGACCTTATCCCCTCTCCATTTCTGTGAGGTCGAGCTTGCAACACTTCTTCTGGTCCTTTGGTTGCAGAAGGGCGTAGGGAATCCTGGTAAATAAGATCATCACAAAGGATAAGAAAAATTATGGCTGAGAAAGTGATTAGACAGAAGATAGCTATCTTAGAACGTTTGAGAAGTCGGTCATCAAACATTCTGTTACAAGTTAAAACTCTTTTTGCGATGAGAACTGCAATTGGAAAGAACTCATGCAGAAGCAACATAGCCTCCCACGCTGGACATTGAACATTAAGACTTAACTTCAACACGGGAAGTAGAATGTTGAAAATGACGATCAAATATGAATATTGTTTGAAGTCTGTGATCCTTTATTTTGGTCATTGTTTGAAGCATTCAAAGTGTTTATGTTAGATTTCTTCAATTCCAACGCTGTCATCACATCAAGTCTATGAATTGTTATTGACCAAATTCTCCGAAATAATTTTTACAAAATAGTAATGAAAAAGAAAATTCTTCACAAATTCATATTATTTTAAACAAAATTTAGAAATAAAAGTTTGAAAATATTGAATATAGTAATACTAGGTATAAAATTAATCTATCTTGAGTCTAAAACACACATAGAGTAATACATTTACAATAAAGACTGATACAACTATATATGACAACTAAACATAAATACGGTGAATAGAAGATTTGTTAAAAAACAATATCAACAATATCTACCAATATCAAACAATATCAAAAGTTCATATTTCCTTAATGGGTTAAATATGTTTTTCGTCCTTTTAAGTATCACACGAATTTGGTTTTAGTTCCTACTTGAAACTTTGATAGTTTTTAGTCCTCATAGTTTTGAAACTCTTATTATTAGTCCTTAAAATTAAACCGCGTTAACTTTTAGTAGATGTGGCAAACGACGAGACCATGTTTTATGTCAGTTGTCCTCTTCATTCTCTGCTACGTTGGTTGTTTAAGTTTTGAAACGAGATTAAGAGTGTTAATTGTGCATTTGGTTGAAAATAGGTTAAGAGAAGAGAAAAGGAAATTTGAGCACTGGGAAGAGGCATTTGCAAAAATTTGAAGATTCATTTGGCCACAGATCTCGACTCCCCTCACTCTCATTTTTCATCATTCAATCTCACACTCCTCTCTATCAACTCAATAGAATCACCCCATCCGAAACCAATCCCTTCATCACGCACACACGCACAATCCCCTACCTACTAATTTTTCCCTTCAGCCAAAAACACATCACTCTTCACTCACATTTGCTATGCTTTCCTGGCACCCAATAACGCTACCTACCAACGGGACATTCCAAAAAAAAACTCCAACCTTCATCACCCATTTCTCCCCATTTTTTCAATCACCAAGCCAAACTCTCACAATGGGAAACCTGAACCTCTTCTTTCTCATTTACCTCCGCAAACATTTATCATTTGGCTTCATCCATCTAAATTCTTGAAGCATCAAATCCTCTCTTCCAGTTCATCACACATACAGTAGAATACATACATCAATCAAACAGAGAAGGAAGTCTCAAATCTCACCATCTTCATTGTTAATATATAGTCAAAACAGAGTTAAGAGAGGAAGGAAGGTGGTGTCGCCAACACCTGCTCCATTTGCAGTAGCGGCCTTGGGCGGCGACTAGGGGTGTCGATGGTGGCGACGACGTTGTGGTATGGCAGTATCGCGGTGTTGTGTTTGCGAGTTCGAGGAAGAGAAGGAGAAGAAGGGGAAACCCCTACTTTCGAGCCGCGCCGTTGACTAGGGAGATCGTTCTCCCTAAGGTTGTTCCGGTAGTAGAGGATGGAGTGGCGCGATGTTGGCGAAGAAGGCCTATTTCAAGTGGTTCTATCAAGCGGCGACCGACGTCGTTCAAGAAGGCGGGGGCACTTCCCTCTTGCGGTCAAAGATGTGGCGCAGGGAGAAGAGGAGAAAGGTTGGTGCGGCGACTGGTAGAGTCTGTGGCGGCGATTGGCGACGCTGGCGAAGTCTTGGGCCTCAGCTAGCGGCGGCTGATTAGATGGAGAGTGAAGAGAGTGAAGAGGGCACTTAAAACCCTTAAGTCTTGGGTTGCAGCTTCAACCAAATGCACACTTAACATACTTAATCTCATTTCAAAACTTAAACAATCAACATGGTAGAGAGTGAAGAGGGCAGCTGACATAAAACGTGGTCTCACCTTTTGCCACATCTACTAAAAATTAACGCCGTCCAATTTTAAGGACTAATAGTAAGAGTTTCAAAACTATGAGGACTAAAAATCATAAAGTTTCGAGTAGGGAGTAAAACCAAATTCGTGTGATACTTAAGGGACGAAAAACATATTTAGTAAAGACTGATGGGTCAGACACACTAGTGGTAGAAGAGATACCAGGAGACGACATGGAAGAAGATAGAGAAAAACCCTAAAACACCAAGGTTCTTCATTAATTGTTGCCCAAATGATACAATCCTATCTAGGAAAGAGTACAATCGTTTTTGAATTTGATTCCTCCTACAGGATAAACAAAGAAAATCATAGAAGAACACGAAAATAAGATAGAAACGGAGACGTTACAATCTAACAAATTTGATACGCTGTCATTGCAGCTATCAAATTAATACTACTTTTCAAGACAACTTCAGTATTGTCAAGTCAGTAGTCAAGAAAGTAGATAGGGTTAAAGTAACCCTGAGTCGTCTCCCAACAAATACGTAATTACTTTTCAATATTTGAATCTTACAAATGTTATGCAATGCTCAAGAATAAAAGTGAGAAACTAAGCTAATAGAATTAATGTTTGAAGAATGTTTCAAGAACAAAGAGGAAACTTAGAAACAATTATGATGAAATAGGCTAATTCCACTACTTTCCCAAGATAGATTCATCATAGGTTATCCACAGATAATTGATCAATTGATTATTGTTAAAGTTTCAAATTAATTAAAGTACATTCTTAATTAATGTGAGAGAGATCATGCAGTTAACCAAAGTAGATTCTCAATAAAATGCAAGACCTTTCTAGATTATTCACAATGAATTCAACCAAAGTACATTCTGAATCAAATTCTATTGTGTTTAATCATGTCTATTCTTATATCTCCTAACCAAATTAAAAGCTAATTAATCAAATTAAATTCTCAATTAATTATAGTTGAAATTATTACCATCAATCAAAGTACATTCTCAATTGATAGCAAAAACCCGTTTAGTCATATGAAGGTTCCTAAATTTAATCAAAGTAGATTCTCAATCAAACCTAGAAACCCTTGAACTCATATGATTAATATACATGTAGATTCAAACACCTTATGATACAAAAATCATTACTTTTAATATGATAGAGAGATGAAAGACATAGAAGAAGAATAACTCAAATCAATAATCAAAATAAAAAATTACATTAATTCAACTTAACCGCAAAATCCATAATGAAATTACAGTGGAATAGCCCTAGGTGCTTATCCGTCTATGAATGGAGTAGAATACATGATGAAATAAAATGAGAGGAGTGGTGGATGAATGCTTCCAAGTGGAGGAGTCTGAGAATGAATGAGTTGTCATTTCTGCCTCCCTAGGTCTCTTTATATAGGCTTGGATTGGGCTTGGACTCTGAATCTTCTGTTGATAAGATCTTTTATCTTATCTCTAATATCTTCCAAATATTCAACACATTTAATCAACTTTTGAGAATATTTGATAATATCTTTTCTAGATTCAAAAAGATTTGGCAAATATTATCTTTTGATATTTGTTGATATAGTTAAATAAGGTAATAATTTAACAATATGAAATAAAATATCTTAAGATATATTTTCTCCAAATTATCTTTTAAAATATCTAACAGATTTTAACTTGCCCAAAATTACAATTCAACCCTTTTTATTTTATTCAAAATTGCACAAAAGTCCAGAAATTTCCTCTAATAGCACTTTAGCCTTTTCTTTCTTTTCAAAATTGCAATTCAAACTTTAGTTCCAGCTGCATCAACAAACATTAGACTCTCCAAAATAATTTATGCAACTAAAATCACATTTTCAGCCTCTTTAATTCCCAAACCCGATAAAGCCAATCATGCAAAATCTTATTCAAATCAATCATTTAAGCACAATTATTCCACTAAAGTTGTGAATTTAAATCTAAAATATGAGCATAAATATGCACACATCACACCCCCACACTTATCCTTTTGCACTCATAAACAAAATTGACTAATTCCAAGAATTTGTTCCAAGTCATTTTATTCCATATTTGCATCTGGATCACAAAAATGAATAACACTAGATATAAATCAATCATCTACAAATCAATTTGTCATGGACATGCAATTGAAATCACTCTATTCTTCACACATGAGTTGAAATTTTGAATTCACAAGAAAATCAAATATGAAAGATATCACTCAAGTCAAAATGTATTTATTTCTCCCCAACTCTCTCAAGTGTATTTTGGCTTGTGTTTATGCTCAAAAGACCCATGCAAGTAGACAACCTTGATATTTAGCAAGACTCTGACATTCACATACTTTAGAAAACATGCAATTATTGATCATGAGGGCTTTTTATAGGTTCTATTGAAGCCAAGGAAAAGGTAGGAATTTTTTTTTTTTTGAAATTTCTGAGTTTTTGAAATTGATATAGAAAGAGTAATGACACTTTATTTCAAAAACAACTTTATTACTTGCTCTTTTAAGGAAGAATTTTCTCTTTTTTTTCTCTTTTTTTTCTCTTTTCTTTCTCTTTTCCTTTTTTTTTTCAAAACTATGACTTTTCATCTTCCATTTTGTGAATCTTATGTGGGTGAGGTACTCACCCACACACTTATTCACCACTTACTTCTAACACAATCCATTGCTCTTTATTCTTTCCTAAGGTAAGGAACATATGAAAACAAGGAATATCAAACAGTTGATGTGCTAAGAGTATAAAGAGTGTAGAGTTCAAGAAAATCAACACAGAAATTTTATCCTAGTTCGAATCAAAAGATTCTACGTCCAGTCCTATGAATAGTGATTAACCTTTTTCACTAAAATAATGTTTGTACAGATTATAAGATATGAAGTAAAGATTAAGAAACGAGAACACCTTTCATTCGACAAACGAACGGAAGAACCTTCCTTCGACAAACGAACCGAAACAGACAACTCAAGCAACTTGAAGAGAACTGCTTTGACCTTTGACACACAAAGCGCGAGCTTTCTCCTTTTCACAAGACTTGCCAAGAGCACACTATCACTTTGAGAACTTCCTCAAACAAACTGTATTCTCAAAA